AAGAAAATAACCGCGAGGGAAAGCGAGATCGACGAATTGCGATTCGTCCGGGTTCGGGCTCACTCGTCGTTCGCGCGAAAACAACGTACGCCAGACGCGCCGACACAATTCGCCTCTGCAATAATCACAGATCCCGATAAGCCGCGGAATTAGCCGCGGTGTTTGCATTTTCACCGAGCATCCCGCGCTATCCGGGAATTTCGTAAATAATTTCCGAGACCACTCCGAGCCAACCCCCCCCCCTCCCCCGAACGGCGTTACCGTCCATTCGAATTGCCGCCGCCGTCGCGCACCCCTTTCTCGAATCCAATATATCGCTCCGTAATTTCGCGGCGCGGTCACATCGACGTGTTTCGAACTGGTTTTCCATCGCGTCTCCTTTCTTTTTTTTCCCTCCATTCCTGCCGTGTCTCCACCCGTTTCTCTCCACCCGCGGCTCGTTTCCGTCTATGCGTGGGCGCGCCCGTCCGTGCGTACATCCAAATGGAACGGGCGGGGGCCGAAGGCAAAAACTCCGGAAAATTGAAATTAATGAATAGTCACCCCTCCTGTGCGCGCGTCGCGTAGCTTTCTCGCGTTTTACGTCGGCTCCGATGGAAATCCGCCTGGCGAACAAAGAGGGTCGCGCGACGATGCCGTAACGACCCTCTTTGGGGGGGGAGGTTTCTTCCTCGGAGGACCCGCGCGAGGTCTCGTCGGCGTCACCTTATACACGACAAATGCCTTTTTAATGAATCCCCGCCTGATGAGTTTTTTTTTTTTTGGAAGTTATGAATTATGCAGGCGTGCCCGCGCACGATTGAGATTTTAAACGGCAGGGTTGTTAACTGCTAACATTTAAATAATCGCGTAGTTTACTCATTTCTCCTCGAGAGATTATGACTGAATTTTTTTACTCTCTATCTTTTCTCAGCTTATTCTGGAGAGAAAAACTTTTTTCATGTTTATTATTATTAAAGTATCATTTTTGTCTGTCAGAAAGTTTATAGTATTGCTAAATTGTTTTTATAAATTTTTATTTCCATCGACATGATCGGTATTCCTTCAGAAGAGATTAATAATTTTTAGTCGACCGATCCATGTGAAAAGGCCAGAGCACTCGCAGTGTCCAGATCAGCATTATATTGCCGTACTCTCGTGCAGGAGGGTACTTTTGGTCGCGTATATAAAGGAACTTTGGAGTTAGCAGGACGAGAACAAGAAGTCATCATAAAAACTGTTACAGGTAAAATTTTTGAATTGTAAAAACTATTAAATATTGTACTATCTGTCTGATAGATTTCTTTGAAATGTAATGATTTTGTTAATAAAAATTTTTAATAGTAATTTTTAATAATTGATACAATACATTTATAAATTTAGAAAAGTTGATTACTTCGTATATATATATATCATCAAGAAATAATATAAATGGTTGATAAATCAACGAGAATATCTATTCAAGATAAAATAGAAAGTTATTGTATCCACTATCGGCTATCCATAATTCATGGTTAGATAAGTTAATCTTTCGATTTTAAATGTAATTAAATAATTAGAAGTCAACACTTTTTCATTTGACTTGACCATTACACCTTTACATATTTACCTGTTGTATAATTAATTTATAAATATTTATAAAATAATTTTTATTTAAATATATAATTTAATAAGATAAAAGAGATAAGTTTATTGTATAAAAAAATAGTTGAAATCATACCTTCATTTAAATAGAATAACAATTTAGTAAATTTTCAGATTCAGATTATATCTTCTATTTATTTTTTAATAAATTATTGACTTTACATATTTTGCTATTTAAAGATAAAAATTCGGACAGGCACAACCGACAAAATGAATGTTGAATTGCAATCAACATCATGTGGGCGTCCTAATTACACTGAAACTGAATAATATGTTTGTTTCAGAGGTAGCATCCGCTTATCAAGCCTCTCTTTTAGTAGTGGAAGGCTCACAACTGGCTGGATTAGTTCATACAAATATCGCCTCTTTGGCGGCTGCTTGTCTGGACAGTTCGTGTCCTTTATTAGCTTACACAAGCACGCCTGGTGAGCTAAACTTGAAGGTCTACCTTACGGATGGAAATCACCATCCAGTGACTAGAGACTTGGTGC